GGAAAATTCCAACATTTAGAAGCAAGTGTTGGGAAGAAAAATAGATCTGACCCCATCCCAGTTTTTATTTTATTTTATTTTATTTATTTATTGTGTGTGTGTGTGTGTGTGTGTGTGTGTGTGTGTGTGTTTAATTTAAGGAAGCAAAGACTTTCTCTGAGCCCTCTGCTCTGCAGTATTCCACGGGATTAAGACAGAGTCATTTCCTGGTAAAAAGCATCTCAGAGTGGGTTGTTCGTAGGGCACGTCCTCAGAAATCGCGTGTCAATCAGAGCCGCAGCCTTTGCCCTCTCCCCTTCCTGGATTAAAAGTCATAATGAACTGAATCCAGGACTTCAATTGATCTGGTCCTGCTCTCCAGGTCACTAGGAGTTATGACGCCACATCCTTCCCTATCCTTGGAGCCTGGTCTTAGCCATCCGCAGCGTTTAAAACTCGAAGAGGAAGTAACGCTCCTCCTGGTCTGCTGAGCTCCTAGGGGCCATACCCTCCAACTGCCTCCACCCCAGCCCCTCAGAGAAAAAAAGACGCTTTCAAAGCTGGCAAAATAACAAAGTTTGCATTTTCAATGGAAACAAAAACAAACATTTACAAACCTTTCTCCACTTCTTGGCCTAACTCCAGGCAATGATTTAATAAGAAAATATTTACCCTATGTCCTCTTTCTTTTTTCTTTTCTTTTTTATAATAAACCGCTCTACACCACTTTTCTCTCAATTAAATTGTATATTTTATACAATATAACAGTAAATTAAACCTATATACTACATATATATATATATATGATTCAGGCCCCTTTTTAAAAAGCTAGTTTATAGATGAATAAAACCCAGAAATTTAAAAGTTACTTATGCATAATTTTAAAGAACTTATTAGCAGGCTTTGGTAGAATTTTAAAATAGCGTTCCCTCCTCTTGTTTGGAATAAATGTTAAATAACTATAATGAAATACTACATAAAAGTAATTTCTATTTATTTTATTTTCTACTTATTTCTAAAATTAAATATAACCAATTTTTGTATTTCTATTTTGAAAAGGTAGATTTTTGTTAGCATGGGGCTCCAGTTATTTTTAATATTCATGTAACTATCTCAGAACCTAAATGCCTGTATCTTGTCTTCAGTCTAAAGGCTTAAACTAGACTACAAACAAGGCAAAGGTTGCAGCAAGAAAGTAAATATTTAGATTGCCTCTTAAAATAACTTTCCCAGCTGCTATATTCCCACAAGATAGTGTTTCTAAAACCAGTTCTGGGGGGTGAAAAGCATAACTGGGTGGTTTGTTTTAATTTAAAAACCCTGGCCCCCCATATTTACTGCTGAATAAGTAGTTTCATATTCTCTAACTCAATGTTTATACAGGTCATTCTCTCAGTGTCTCTGAAAGTGCTCTCCCATCATGAACTCCTAATGTCATTCCTATTCTCATCGTATGTTACCCAAATACAGACTCAATTTTCTTCAGAGTCTCTTTACCTAGATGACCCCCGAATGGTTTACTGGAGCATTCCTTCCTCCACAACAAGCCAAAGCATCTCTGAAACTTATCTCTTTAATTTCCCACCAGTTTTTTTGGACACCAAGGCAGAGAGGCTTAGGTACAAAGGTACACAGAAAACACAGGTCTGAAACAAGTCTTGTCTTTTGTTGCTTAACATTTTTTTTCTTTCTGGCTTACTGCTCTTAACTAATTTGGCCAACCCAGAAGGGCAGTCCAGCAGAAACTTCTGTTGACCTAAGTACACTCCACTATTATATTGTAAAAACCCCGTCAGATTATATTATTTCATATTATTTTTGCTTCTGAAGAAAATTTAGTTCAGATTATTCTGGAGTTTTTAATATAATAAAAGCCTAATATGCAAATTGGCCCTCCTATATAATAAAAGCCTAATATGCAAATTGGCCCTTCTGGTGGGCAGTCCTTTGACCAGGCGTTTGACTGGGAATTTGACTGCTTGCTATGATGTGCACTGACCACCAGGAGGCGGTGTGGAACATGGCAGGTGTTACTGATGTAGCGCTGGCAACAGGCAGCAGTAGAGGTGCTGCCTGCCTCAATGGGACCTGATAATAGCAGACTGTGACTGGATGGTGGAGCAGGTGAGCAGGTGTGAGCAGAGACAGAGGTGGTGGTGGTGGGGGGTGTCTATTGCCTTGCCAATCACCTGCAAACAGCGACCAGACCAGCTGCAGTGGCAGGGGGGATGGGGCTGCCATCCAGTGCCCAGGTGCTGAGGAAGCCAGGCAAGGGGCCCAGCTCCAGTTGATCTCCCTGCAGGCGGAATTGTAGAGCAGGTCAGGGGGTTGGGCCAGGCCAACGTGGGGTGCCAGGCAAGGCTGTGGGGCTGTGAGGCTGGGGGTGCAAGCTGGGGCCCGATTGACGCAGGGCACCCTGAGGGACCCCACCTATGCATGCATTCGTGCACCGGGCCTCTAGTATATTTATTTTTTTAAATACTGTTTTAATTAATTTTAGAGAGAGAGGAAAGGAAGAGTGAGAGATAGAAAGATTGATCAGTTGTCTACGGCCATACCACCCTGAATACGTCCGATCTCGTCCGATTTCGTCTGATCTCGGAAGCTAAGCAGGGTCGGGCCTGGTTAGTACTTGGATGGGAGAAAGATTGATCAGCTGCCTCCTGTAGGCCTACTACTGGGGATTGAGGCAGAAACGCAGGCATGTGTCCTGATCAGGAATTGAACCAACAATCTTTGGTACATGACCGATAGTCAACCAATGAGCCCCACCAGCAGGGCTGGATTTGTATTTATAAGTCTTCTGATTAATAAAGAGAAGGATTTAGTCAAATTCAAAACTAACTGAAACCAGTTTGGCTCAGTGGATAGAGCATCGGTCTGCAGACTGAAGGGTCCCAGGTTCGATTCCGGTCAAGGGCATGTACATTGGCTGCGGGCACATCCCCGGTGGGGGGGGGGTGCAGGAGGCAGCTGGTGGATGTCTCTCTCTCTCATCAATGTTTCTAGGTCCCTATCCCTCTGCCTTCCTCTCTGTAAAAAATCAATAAAATATATATATATTTTTTAAAAATTCAAAACTAAATCAAATACAGAATATATAAAGAACTCTTACACCCTAGCCACTGTGGCTCAGTTGACTAAAGCATTGTCTTGTACACCAAAAAGTGGCAGTTTAGATTCTCATTTAGGGGGATTTGTGGGAGTCAAGAGATGGTTGATTCTCTCAAAGGACTTAAATAGACATTTTCCCACAGAAGATGTACGCATGAGCAATAAGTACATGAAACGGTGCTGCTCAACATCGCTAATCATTAGGGAAACACAAATCAAAATCATAATGAGATATCACTTCACTCTTGTTAGGGTGACTCTTTTAAAAAAAGACAGAGAAATGCCCTAGCTGGTTTGGCTCAGTGGATAGAGCGTTGGCCTGCGGACTGAAGGGTCCTGGGTTTGATTCCGGTCAAGGCACATGCCCGTGTTGCAGGCTTGATCCCCAGTGCAGGGCATGCAATAGGCAGCCTGTCAATGTTCTCTCTCATCATTGATGATTCTCTCTCTCCCTCTCCCTTTCTCTCTAAAATCAATAAAAATATATATTTTTAAAAGACACAGAGCTGAAACCAGTTTGGCTCAGTGGATAGAGCATTGGCCTGTGGACTGAGGGATCCCAGGTTGATTCCAGTAGGGGGTGTGCAGGAGGCAGCTGATCGACGTTTCTCTCTCATCGATGTTTCTAACTCTCTGTCCCTCTCTCTTCCTCTCTGTAAAAAATCAATAAAATATATATATTTAAAAATAAAAGAAGAGAGAGAAAGAAAATAACAAGTATTGGAGAAATTGAAACCCTCATGAATTGCAGGTGGGAATGTAAAACGGTGCAGCCACTGTTGAAAACAATTTGTGGTTCCTCAAGAAGTTAAACATAGAATTACCATGGGATCCAGAAATTTCACTCCTTGGTATGTACCCCAAACAATTCAAAGTGGGGACTCAAACAGATACTAATATTCATAGTGTTACCACCATTGGGGTTCTTGGGTTCCCCAAGATAAAAATCAAGAGGAAACCCCAGAGAAAATTTCAGACAGATTTTATTAAGCTTAAGCTCAAGCACAAGGGAAGCAGCACAGAGGAAAGGAAGGTCCTCTGAACTGATTCAGGAGCTTACATGTACAATTCATTGGCATGTTCACAATGTTTACATCACAACTGTCCATTTTCAGAAATTTTTCATTATCCAAAACTGAGGCTTTGTACCCATTAAACTATAATTCCTCATTCTCACTCCCCCATGATCCCTGGTAACTTCTATCCTACTTTCTGTCTCATATATATGAATTCTATATTCCTCATATAAGCAGAATCATACAATATTTGTCCTTTTGTGTCTGGCTTACTTCAGTTAACATAATATTTTCAAGATTCATCCATGTTGTAGCATGTGTCAGTATTGCCTTCCTTTTTATGACTAAATAATATTATATTATATATACATATTATATTTTGCTTATTCTTTAATCTGTTGATGGACACTTGGGTTGTTGTGAATACCATTCAAGTTAGCTATTGTGAATAATGATGCAATAATGATGCTGTTGATACCATGTAGGGACCTTGACCCAGAAACCCAAGGATGCCAAATGATTAGAAGAAACACCAGATAAGCTAACCACAAGAGTGTCACCACTCCGCCACTCCTGGCCCGAGAGTGCAGAAGTAGCCTTTCTTATCTCCCTTCTAACTGCTGACTTTTTTGCAGATGTGAAAACCAATAGTTCCTTAGCAACCGACAGAAGGAGAAAGTAGCTCAACCCTGACATGGAAAATTCTAAATGCCCACCTTTTCCAAAATGCCTGCCTGTCCCCAGCTTATAAAAGCAACCAGGATGCCCTGATTGGGTAGTTCAGTTGGTAAAGAACATGGTTCCAACATGCGGTTTTGGATTCAATCCTGTGCATACTTAAGTAGAACAACAAATCTCTCTCTCTCTCTCTCTCTCTCTCTCTCTCTCTCTCTCTCTCTCTCTCTCTCTCTCTCTCTCCTTTATCTTTCTGACTCCAGCAGTCTAGACATTTATGGAACCAGGAGAATAATGAGTTGTGCCCTCTGCAGCTCTGACTATAAATGGTGCAGTAGAAAAAGGGTGAAGATGCGAAGGGCGAAGAGTTAAGTAAGCTGGGCATTCAGTGGTGAGGCATCCAGGCCATAAGAGCTTCCATGCAAATCCTATTAAGAGTAATAATACCCTGTAGGTAGAAGTGAGCATTGCTTGTGTAGGAATCTTGAGGATCTACCTCTGGGCCCCAGCTTCCTCAGTTGTAAAATGGGATAAGAATAGCATTCAAATAGTAGAGTTGGTGTTGGTTGGGATTCCTCCCCATCTACTCACCTCACTTCTCCACTCTGACCCAGGAAGCTGATCTGGGTAGGCTACATCAACAGGCTCCTTGTCTCTGCCTTCTGTTGGGTTCAGACAATGGGAGGTACCAGCAGGATATGGGAAGAGGAGGAGAAGAAGGAGGTTGGAATATTTATTCTCTGGATTTCTTCCCTGGGTATTGCATAGGCTAGACATACTACAAACTCCTGGCCCCCTTTCCAAACTGGCAAAAAAAAAAAATCCCAGGGAGGGAACTAAGAATTTAAATTAATAACAGCACCAAACTCATGGGCATGGACAACAGTGTGGTGATTGCTGTGGGGAGGAGCAGTGGGGGTCATGGAGGAGGACATAGGAGAAATGAATGGTACACCGGAGACTTAACTTGAGCACACAATGCAGTGTACAGATGATGTGTTGTGGAATTGTGCACCTGAAACCTATATCATTTTGTTGCCCAGTGTCACCACAATAAATCCAACAAAAAGGAAAAAAATAGCATCCTGGGTATTTCTGATAACCTGGTCAACCACTTAAAGGCTGTGGGCTTCAGAGAAAAGGAAAAAATAAGAATCCTTTTCTGACACATCACCATTGCTTTGTTTTACCTGTTTTTGGAGCTTTAGATAAATGGGGTTGTCTAGTATCTACCTTTGTCTGGCTTTTATTTAATATTCTGTCACATTTTTCAGGTAAGAGTGGTTCATTCTTATAGCACTGTAGCATTCTATGACTACACCCAAAGTAGAGGGGCTGGTGTTTTTCCCACATTCCTAACAAACAGTATTTTCCTCACCTGTCCATATCCTTCAGCCTCCCACCCTAACACAAGCAAAAATAATTCATTGATGTAAATACAACATAAAATAAAAGCACATTTCATGAAAAATTTGTGAATGTTTGCTATGATAGTGTGGGCTAAGACACAGTTCTAACTGTTTTACATGCTCTAGCTCAACCTTCACAAAACCTTACAAGGGGATGATATTATTATTCCCATTATCTAATAAGGAACCTAAGGCATAAAAAGGTGAAGTAACTTGTCTAAGCTTACACAGCTAGTAAGTGGCATGGTCAGGATTTGGGTTCAGGCAGTCTGGTTCCAGAACCAGCACTCCTAACCACTCTCCTCCCCAGCTTCTAACCAAGTTCAGGCCATATGGCACACCAGTGACTGCCATGAAAGAAAAGCATGGCTAGGTCTCATGAGTAAGATAAGCAAAAGCATCTGCCTTGCACATGGGAGAGGCTCATGCATGTTCAACTTACATCACAAAATAGAGATGGGAAGACCAGGTAGGTGGCCATTCCAGCCTGGATGTGAGCTGCTGAGGACTTGAATGTCACAAAGATGAAGAGGAATTACTGTAGTCCAGTCATTCAGCACCAAGTTCTCATCATGAGAATAGAAAAAAATCAAGGAGCAACCTGGAGGGAAACCGTGATACTATAAAAGTGACTCAGGAGGAATTATTGACATACGGCATGTTGACATCAGACACCCATTATACAATAACATTCTTGCTGTATGTAATCTCTCCATATTCTGATTTTAATCCCAAGGGTTTCTAAGAAAACCCTGGATAACACCACTGATTCCATGAAAAGCAGCAGACCATTTCCACCACCCTGTTGCCTCTGGGTGGCTGAATCACATGGCAGGCACCTTCCAAATACTCGTTAGGGTAGTTCTGCATAGCTTTGTCCCATGGTTTAACTTGGGTTTGCCCTTCAGCAATAACAATCCCCAGAATACCCTTGACTATTAACAACATTGGCAGGCTTCCTGGTCACACACAAGATTTAAATAGGTCAGGGCTGCTGTTTTTCACACATTAGTAACAGCATTTTCCTCACCTGTCACACACCCTTTCCTGCACCAACCATAGGGCAGGAAAGAGACTTCATAGGCATGAATACAGCATTAGGATAAAAGCATTTGAACAGAAATAAACAATCTTCAGGTTCGTTCTTTTGTAGATGTTCTGTTTGGGGACTGCTCATAGAAAGAAAGGGGAAGAAAATGGTTATAAGCTGCCATCTTAGCTGGGGAGTTTGGTTCAAAGTCACAAACACACAATCTTGGTTTTCAAATATGAGTCATTAAACCAACAGTTGGAAGACTCTTGTCTTAGCCATAATTTTGTAAATGTTTTCAAAAGACCACTAGCACAGTAGGCAGTTCTTAATTTCTGAAAGGATTGTGTTTCTAAATTTACATTGTTTTAGCCGAAACCAGTTTGCCTCAGTGGAAGAGCCTTGGTCTGCGGACTGAAAGGTCCCAGGTTCGATTCCGGTCAAGGGTATATACATTGGTTGTGGGCAGATCCCCGGTAGGGGGTATGCAAGAGGCAGCTGGTCGATGTTTCTCTCTCATCAATGTTTCTAGCTCTCTATCTCTCTCTCTGTAAAAAATCAATAAAATATATTTTAAAATAAATAAATAAAAATTTTAAAAAATTACATTGTTTTAAACTGTAAACATAACTTTTCTTAAAACATACATATGATTGTTAAAAATTGAGGTGTTACAGGAGCGTCGTCCATTTCTCCACTAGGAAGGACGCTGGCATTGAGAATATAGTTACCATGTCTTCCAGTGCTTTGACAAAACTTCTGATGGGTGTCTTCCTGACCAGCGTCCGCCATTTCATTTTGTTGGAGCCATGGCTGTATTCCTGGGGGTCGCAGCTTTCTGTGATTGCTGAGGCTGAACCAAGAAAGAAGGCACCTGTAGATTTCCACAGAAATTATGATTCCGTGAAAAATTTCCAGGAGATGAGGAAGGCTGGCATCTGTCAGAGTGCAAGGTGACCTTGAAATGTAAATAATTTAAATATATATATATATATATATATATATATATATATATATATATGAGTAGTTTCTCTTAATGAATAAGAAATACTGTGAAAAAAATTGAGATATTACATATGTACAGAAAAAGGCACTAATTTTAAGTGTTCGGCTTGATGAATACCCGGGTAATCCACCAGATCAAGGTAAAGCACCCAGAGGCTCCTTCATGCCCCTTCCTAGCCAATAACCATCTCAGAATTCTTTCACCACAGACTAGATTTTTAAAACAATGTAAAAAAATTAAATTATTATTTCAGAGAGGAAGGAAGAGGAAGGAAGAGGAAGAGAGAAACAGAAACATCAATGATGAGAATCATTGATTGGCTGTCTCCTGCATGCCCCCTACTGGGGACCAAGCCTGAAACCTGGGCATGTGTCCTTGACCGGAATCAAACCTGGGACGCTTAAGTCCGCAGGCCAGTGCTCTATCCACTGAGCCAAACCAGCTAGGGCATAAAGCAACTTTTTAATTGATACAGAACTGACATATTTAAGTGCATAAAGTGAACGAAAATAATAATTATAATAATAAAAATAAAGTGAGCTAATTTCAAGGGTAGGGTGAAATATTTAAATATGTATATACTCATATAACTACTATCCAGCGCAGTAAATAAAACGTTTTCATACCCCAGAAGACTACTCATACCTCTTCCCTGTTAATAATTGGCTCTCCCAAAATAACCACTATTCTTAGATCACCATCACTCAATTTTGCTTTGGGGCTTTATATAAGTGGAATTATGCAGTATATACTTGTATCCGGCTTTTGTTCAGCACTGTGTTATGTTTTGTATTAACAGTGGTTCTCTTCCCTGCCCTGCCCCCTGCCCTGTAGTATTTATGACTTAACCACAGTTTACTTCTCATTTCTACTATTTTGTTGAAGGACATCTGGTTTATCACCAATTTGGGGCTATTATGAGTAAAACTGCTAGAATGGTCCTTTACAAACGGTAACATTTGTACTCATTTCAATAGGGGATGCAGATGTATACAAGCATATAATAGGAAGATCTGACCTAATCTGGAAAGACCAGGAAATTATTGTACTGCATTGCTTTTGGGTGGTGTTTTCTGAATCTTAACCATGGGGACAAGGAACACATTTCCTATGTCTAGGATGTTAGTGGGGACCCTTCCTGCCTGTTTTCTTAGTCCTGGAAGCAATAAGGTTAAGGATATTCTGGCCTTGGCTGCCATTTGTATATCTGGCCTATTCATAACTGAATAAGATAAACTCTTGACTACATTCACAATTAGGACAACTACTGTTCTGTAGGTGATTATTTGTTTTCTTTCTGGCTGTCAGCATCCAGATCCCTTCATACCTTTGGGAACTCCCCAAGCAATGAATCTGGGCAGTGACCTGGGTTCCAGCAGTCCACTTCCCACTGAGTCATCTCAGTCTGAGTCACGAGGGCTCTGGCATCATAGGATGGGAGGGTAGGTGGAGCATTTGGTACCGAAGGCAGCGGGAGAGCTCTCCTCACCAGCTGGGATTGTAGGTGTGATTCTGGACATTGTCCCTGCTGCCAAGCCTCCAGCACAGTTCTCCCGTCCTCCCAGCAATTCCGTAAGCTAGGTAGTAGATGGCAATAAATTCTTCTTATTCTTAATCACACAGCTTAGGTTTCTGTGACTTATAACGAAGAATCCTGACTGCTAAATCCTCCTAGCAAAATTCCCTACAAAATGATGATTACAAATATTGTTTTAACTAGAGGGCCCAGTGCACGGAATTCGTGCACTGGGGGGAGGGGAGGGGGGAGCGTGAGTCCCTCAGCCTGGCCTGTGCCCTCTCACAGTCCAGGAGCCCTGGAGGGATGTCTGACTGAAGGCTTAGCGTTGCCACGGAGGCGGGAGAGGCTCCCACCACTGCGGCTATGCTCACCAGCCAGTGAGCTCCTGCATTGTTTGCCCCCTGGTGGTCAGCACACATCATAGTGGCCAGTCATTCCACCATTCGGTCATTTGCATATTAGCCTTTTATTATGTAAGATGGTAACACAAAAGTATTTTTTGTGTGTGTAAAAAAGAGCAATCTTGTATATTACTTACAAATCTTACTGTCTTGTTAATTGTCTGTTACGGATCTAACATCTTGCAATAACTTTAGTTCCTCCAAAGCAAGTAAATGGTAGGGTTACCCATTAAACAAATTACTTTACAGGGCAAACAGAATTAAGTCTTTGACTACATACCTGCACATAGAATGCATGATAAGTTCCTTGTATCTGGGGACCTTCCCCCCTCTTTATAAAGAAGAAAGTAAGGTGCCAGATCCATGTCCCTGTTAATTAGAAAGTGCTGCCCATTCCCAAGCTTTCTCTTCTCCTTCCTCCTTTCACATTAGCATGGAACCTTGCGAATCAACAAATCAATTAGTTGAAATGGAAATGGAAATGGAATTTGACTATTTCAATGCCAGTGTGTAGCTAATAGACTGTGTCAGAATATACAGACCCCCCAAAAGAAGCCTGATTATATAATAAACACTCATTAACAGCTTGAGTTATTAATAATGAACTGTACTTTAACATCAGAACAAAGAATGTGTACCTAAATGTAAGGATTTAAGAGTTTTATGGTTGACAATATGATTTCAGATACATTTATCTCATCTGCTCCCATTGCTCAGGGGAGTTAAGTGAGGCCACACAGCTTGACCCCAGACCTAACTCCCATTCCTTTTTCAACCATACAATATGAACATCAGTAACTTTAAAACAATAATATAACTAAATTGCATTAAATTGAAATAAGTAGAAAACAAACTCTAAATTCAGGAAAATCACACAATCTAGTCTTATTATTTAATTAAAACACAAAACGCAGCATATCATAATTTTAAAATATTTTATTAATACCAAAAATTGTTCTTTATTTAATACTAGGAGCCCAATGTACAAAATTTGTGCAAAAAGTAGGCCTTCCTTCCCCCAGCTGCCAGCACTAGCTTCCCTCTGGCACTCCGGACCCAGGGTTCCCTCACAGCTGGAAGTTCATCCAGAAGGAAGTCTGGTCTAATTAGCATATTACAATTTTATTATTATAGATGCTTGTGTAAATACAGGGTGGGGAAAAAGTAGGCTTACAGTCGTGAATATGGGAAAGTAAATAATAATACAAGAGCTCAGTGCTACAGATTGACTTCCTCTCATGAATAACTTCTCAATGTGGCGAAGTTCATTGTCTTAAGAAATTGCCACAGTCACCCACTATCCTGATCTGTCAACAGCCATCACCATCAAGGCAAGACCCTCCAGGGCAAAAACTTACTGAAATCTGAGAGGATAGTCCTAATGCCATTTACTTACTACTGGTCCATCATTACCCAGGACTGGGCGTGTGAACATGCTCCCAGGGACTCTCTGCAGAATTACAGAGCTTCGCTGATGATGACACAAATGCAAGTCTTAACTCAGAATACTCGGGAAATTGTCAAGGATGATTTGTTTTCTGCTCATGTTAAATTTAAAACTTGGAATTTGATAATTTCATGTACACATGAAAATACACATATCTCAAATATAAAAAATAATATAAGAATAAACTGTTTCGCATACTCACACCTGTAAACCTACTTCTGCCCCACGCTGTATATAATTAAGACGAGAATGGAAGGATATGTTTCAAAATATTAATAGTGACTACCTATGAGGGGAGTAGGATTATAAGCAATTTTGTGTGTATTTGGAAGAGTATAAGCTTATCTTCATTTTCTAAAATTTCTACAATAAATTCATTACCTACATACTTTTTGAAAAAGCCTTTTGTCATTGTTATTAGTTATTTTTATATTCTACCTTTAAACTAGTCAACTCATTATTGAACTCAATGAAAGTATATTTGAATATCCAAATATTGAGCAATTGATATTTCCTGTACATTATTGCATTTAATTTTCACAACACTTTCATCAGGCAGTATCATCATCCCCAGATAAGGAAGCAGATGCTTGAAGAGGTTCATTTATCAGAATCATACAGGAAGAGATGTGTTGGTTGTGAGCTCAAAAGCCCAGTCTCCTTCTGCTGGGCTGACCCATCCTGCCTACCTTTGACTGTTTCCATAGAGATGTTACAGGAGTTGCTCTGTCACAGACTTGGTGCAGTCTCTCAGACACTCTTTAAAACACATCTAAAGTATTAAAGTGAGTAATTTTGCCGAAATCAGTTTGGCTCAGCGGATAGAGCGTCGGCCTGCGGACTGAAAAGTCCCGGGTTCAATTCCGGTCAAGGGCATGTACTTGGTTGCGGGCACATCCCCAGTGTGGGGTGTGCAAGAGGCAGCTGATCGATGATTCTCTCTCATCGATGTTTCTGACTCTCTATCCCTCTCTCTTCCTCTCTATAAAAATCAATAAAATATATTAAAAAAAAATAAAGTGGGTAATTTTAAAATAATTATATGTATCATAAAGACTAGAAAGAGCCCTAGCTGGTTTGGCTCAGTGGACAGAGCCTTGGCCAGCAGTTTTAGGGTCCCAGGTTCAATTTCAATCAAGGGAATGTACTGGAAAAATATCCTTGAGTGAGGATTAATAAGACAAAACAAACAAAAAGACTAGAAGGATATGCTCCCAACAGTATATATCGCCAGGGAGTGGAACTGATAGTGGTTGGACTTTTATTTTCTAAGCTTTTATAACTCACTTGTTTTTGTGTGTGTGTGTTTTTCCTTTAAAAAGCTTTCCAATCGTTTTTTAAATAGATGAGTCAGAAAAAAATTACTGATTTTGCCTGTATCGTTTATCTGACCACTGGTGCATCTCCTATGAGGTTTATTACACAAATCACTTCTAGAAATGCACATCAAAATGTATACTACATCACCCTCTTGTCTTCTCATTCAGATCTCCTGTTAGACAGTAATCCAAGGTCTCTATCTGACTACTGACTACTGACTACTGTATCTTCAATGCTACAACCGCTCAGTGAAAACATTTGGCAGACTACTGGCAAAT